TTGTTAAATTATAATTATAATAATAATATTTATTTCTTTTCCACTTCTCTCCATGGATCGAGGCAGGGGACAACAACAATTAACAAACAACATCATTAAAACACATCAGTTGAAAACACACATCAGTTTAAAAAGACAAACAAGATAGACACCTATTAAAACAATCCACATTTAAAATCCATCATTTTAAATTCACAATTTAAATATCATCTAAATAAGCCTGCCAGAAGAGACTGAAAGTCTTCAATTCTATTTTCAATTTGGACAGTGTATTCAGTTGTCTAATCTCTTATGGCAAGTCATTCCACAGTCTAGGGATGGCTGAAGAAAAAGTCATCTGGCTGACAGTTGCCAACTTATTCCTGGCTGACTAGAGTAAATGTCCGCCAGAGGACCTGATTGTACAGGGCAGATTATATGGGAGGAGGTGATCCTGTAGGTAGCCTGGACCCAAACCATGTACGATTTTAAAGGTAATAACCAACACTTTTTATATTTAGTGTTTCTTCTCTTGTGAAAGACTTTTTCTTGACACAGTTGATTGTAAAGTACAGGAATTTACATATATACTGATAATGTGCTTTTAATTCATAGATGAGTTGCCATGGCTGGAATGCTTCATCAAATCTTACTACATCAGAAATGAAACAGGGGAACAACTTTGCTATCGGATTTTTGACACTATGATTGCTGAAGATGTCTGATGTATATCGGGCTTCTTAGAAAATTCAGTGGTTGTAAATGTCTATAAAACAATAATAATAGTTTAAATACATTAACAGTGCAGATGGTTTTATTGAATGTGTGCTTTTCTATTAAATGTGTTAATAAATACTGTTTTTCTGAATTAACATAGAGCTTTTAAAGAGTTTGATATCTGTTATTCCGTCTATGTTAATTGAAAGTTCTTGACATTACTTAAGGATGGGGTAGTGTACCATTGTTTATTGCCCAGACATCTCATTTCATAATCCCACAAAATATTGCTGGTGAACCAAATGCATCCTGATGTGGTAAGTTGTCCAATGTTTATCTGTACAGCAGTCTTTTGATCCAGTGGACTGTAACGTTCATTGTGACGCTTGTGACCTATGGTCCGGAAAAGTGGCAGAAGAGTACGTTTGGAAAGTGTTGGAACATTTGGTGTTGCCTCAACTGGTTATAGCCTTTCCCTCTTTATAGTTGCATAGAATGCTGCTTTAACTGTCATAGTGCAGTAACTCCATGTGGTACCAGATCTGAGTTGTATATTGATACAACTAACTTAATATCTTATGTCTTCCCAGTAGCAGCATCCTCTCTTTCACATATGGAAGAAAAATATCGAGCAAAACTTGCGTCCTTCTGTTTGTTCTTGATTGTAGATACAGTCGGCCCTCTGTATACAGGGATTCTTCATCCACGGATTCAAGCATCCACTGCTTGAAAATATTCCATATGTTCGAAAAAGAAAATCTTAATTTGCCATTTTATATAAGGGATACTATTTCACTATGCCCTTGTATTTAAGGGGAGCATCCACAGATTTTGGTATCCAGAGGAGGGTCCTGGAACCAAACCCCAGTGGATACCAAGGGCCCACTGTATAAACACAGACATTAAAATATGGGTATTCCAGTCCAAATCTGGCCATATAAAGTGGGGAGATGACTAAATAACAATGTAATTAATACTAAATGCCTTTCAGTTAAGTGCTGTATGTGATAGTACTTTTAAGTATGTATGTTTATCCATTATGTTGTATATGACTTAAGCAGCTAAATTTGGTCTTGGATTACATTCCTATTTATCTGCTTTTCCCTTTCATGTAATCAGATTTGGCTACTAGTTTTAGAAGTAGAGATTTGGAGGCCAGTAAATCAGTGTAGTAATTGGCTCCCAAAGTGAAACTAATTACTTAGTTTTGTTTTGTTTATTTGCAGCCCAGTGACACTTTTTTATTTGAAGGAAAATACATAACATACATAGCCAGAGGAGAGAACTGCATCATGTTAAAATTCATGGCATGCTTGCACTAAAACAGTGCATTCCAGACCATGTTAAAATGCTTAAATTTGTCTTGATACAGATTGTGTAGTTTCTGGGGAGTAATAAATAATTATTGTAGTAGTCTCTTGAAATTGGAAATGGACATATTCTGTAATGCCCATTCATCTGATCTAGAGAAGCTTTTAACTGTGAACCTGGTAGTAGGTTTTGTGTCAGTTGCTGTGGACAGAATCCCATCAGAGACTGTTGGTTCTGCTGCAAATAAAAACTGTTTTCACAAATAAAATTGAGCCTAGTTGCTCACCTTGGAACATGTAACTCTTGCAATAAAGTCTAAAGGCAGCCGCTTGTCTGCCTTCTAAGATCAGAGAGTTTTAAAATACTGAAATTTAATCAGTGGCATTAAATATTTGCAACAGAGATACTTTACAGTCCAGCCCTGCTGCAGGCACTTAATCCCTTCATTCCAATGGGATTTAGTGCTTAACTATGATTTGGATTAGTCAAGAGAAAGGCCCGAATCTCAGGCTTCATGAGAATCCAGCTGGTATTGTTTATTATTGAAAGTGCCCAGTTTCATTGGGGTTCAGCACTCTCTTATCCTCAAAGGAAGGCAAGGGCAAACCCTTTCTGAACAAATTATGTAAAAAAAAAAAAAAACATGATAGAGCAGGGGTGGGCAACTGTGGCCTTCCAGTAGTTTTTGCCAGCAGCTTCTATGATTCTTCATCACTGTCTGTGCTGGTTCAAACTAATTGTTGTTGTTGTTGTTGTTGTTGTTGTCATGTGCCTTCCAAGTTGTTTCCAACTTATGACAAACCTAAGGTATGGTAAAGCAATACATATAGAGAGCCACACTTGCCCATCTTTCCGTAACAGAAAGATTAGTAGCAAACTGTATGACATGCAGAGAGAAGAAAGTTAGTATTCAAATGTTGATGAATTTAGTTTTTACAAGCTTTTTTTTTAAAAAAAAAAGATATATTGCACTTATGTTAGAAGCCAAAAAGTGATAACTACAGGTGTATTAACGAAGTAGTTGTGTTTTTGGTTTTTACGTCTTTAACAGAATTTGGTATCAGAGGTAGAAATAACAGAAAAAATAGAAATAGGTTCCTACATCACACAAAAAAGAGTTCAACATGTTTCAGAAAACTTTTTATCAGGCACATGTGAAATGAAGCAACCAGCTCAGGTAAGCCTTTGCATGAGTAAACAAAAACTTTATGAATCTTCTGAAGACTGTGAAAGCTTCTTCCAAAATGTATCCCAGGGTCATCTCTTCCTTTCAACAGCCTCCAATTTTCTCATGATTTCCATTTTTGCTATCTTTAGGACCTTTGCAAACTGCCAGAAATAGTGCAAATTGAGTCCACTTTAACTGCCCTGATTCAGTGCTAGGGAATCATGGGAACTGTAGTTTATTGTGGCACCAGAGCTCTCTGACAGAGAAGGTTCAATGTCTCAGAAAAAAATACAATTCCCATGATTCCCTAGCACTGAGCCAGGGCAGTTCAGGTGGACTCAATTTGCACTATTTCTAGCAGTATGCAAAGGCCCTATGTCACTCTGAAGTCAGCATTGATAACATTGATAACGGACCGGTCCCAAGGCCTCAGCGGGCTAGACCTGGCCCACGGGGCGTAGGTTGCGACCCCTGATTCAACCTGTTTTAAAAACAACAAAGAAAAATCTATTACCTTCTGAAGTAGTCTGACTTTTTAAAAAGTTTTTAAATGAAAAGGAAGTAAGATTCCTACAGCCATTTGACTTTTATTAAACTGCTTGATGGATGTAGACATACATCATTGATTTCTTAACTGGATGTACTGGGTTTATTTAATCCTCATTAAATGGAATGGATTATATTTGTAAAGTGCCATTGATGAAAGCCAGGATGATTTAGTGATTTGAATGTTGGACTACAAGTCTGGAGACCAAAGTTCAAATCCCTGCTTGACAGTGGAAACCCACTGGGTGACCTTGAGCAAGTCACACACTCTCAGCTTCAGAGGGCTCAGAAGGCAAAGGCAAAGGTCTTTCTGAACAAATCTTGTCAAGAAAACCCCTCAATAGGTTCACCTTGAGAGCTGCCATATGTTGGAAATTACTTGAAGGCACACAACTATAATAACTATATTTCTATTTGTACTGAAATTTCAACTTTAGTCATTTAAGTTGTCCTTTTTTGTTACAAGATTTCCAGATTAATTGATTTTTATTGGTCAATACTTATCACTGGGAGAAAGAACATAAGTTTCACACCAGCCCTAACATTATTGCATCAGGTAATTCAAGATGCTACCCTAAATGAAGAAGAGAAATCCTCATGTTACTTCATTTTAAAATATCAGCATCACATTTAAATAAGCTCATGCTATTATGATACATTATTGATTGTAGCTCCATATTTTGAACACAGCCAGGGAAAATACAAAGCATTTTATTTCTGATGGGTTTCTGGGCATTGCATATTCTTTCTTTGAATAAGTGCCCATAATTTCACCTAGTGGGCAGTTGGTTTTAATAGGATGTAGGCATTTTCATCAGGAAGAGAATTTAACATTTAGGCCCATATCCACAAATAATCCAACAGTCTTCCATAACACAGCATGAAAAAAGAACCTGAAAACTAAATCAAAGCTCTAGAAATTAGAAAAACCTCTTACCATTATTTCTAAGCGACACTTTTGAGATGGGAGAAGAAGTTGCCTGCCCTTAGCGGTTTCATCTTTGTCCTCTCACTGCCATTGTAAAAAGCTTATCAAAGATTTATTACAAAGGGGATTTCTTATTTCCCCACCAATAGTTGGCAGCAGAGCTATCATGAGTATATTGCCTGGTAATATTTCTGTAAATACAGTCATTTAATTCCCAACTGGAAAAAAAAACAAGAAGATCCTATTGGTTTTCCATTTCCAAAGCTGCTTCTTTCTCTGTACTCACAGCCCTAGCCGAAGCTGAATAGGAAGTTTGTTCAAATGAAACCTTTTCATATATGTATGTAGAGAGCAGATGTAGTGTAGTGGTTTAAGCATTGGACTATGACTCTGGAGACCAGGGTTCGAATCCCCTCTCAGCCATGGAAACCCACTAAGTGACCTTGGGCAAGTCAACACTTATCCTCTGAGGAAGCCAAGAGCAACCCCCTCTAAGTAAATTCTGCCAAGAAAACCCCATGATTGGGTTAACATAAGTAAGAAAAACTGAAGTCATACATGTGTGTTATTTCTAGCTTTTATTCATTTCATTTCATTTCTATGCTGCCTTTCTCCTAGAAAGGGACCCAAGCTGGCTCACAATATAGACTGAAAGAGAACACATACAGATATAGATCAATACATAGATACACACAAACACATATAGATCGATACATAGATACACATTGTATTAAATTAGAAACAACTTTAAAAGCATTTAAAATATAAATGAATAAAAAGCACGGCACAATATATTTAAAAAAAAAAAAACAGGCCAAAAAGCCTGTCTAATGTGCCCAACTTACTCATTGAGTCTCACCTATTCATTGTTGTTGTTTAGTGCTCAGGTTTAAATAGCATGATATGTTTTACCCTCTTGCTGTGAATTGTGGCGTAGATTGAAGTTGGTAGGAGAGGGCAAACAAATTGGTAGCTATGGTAATGGCAAGGAAATGGACAGATTCAGAGGAAATAGTCCATTGAGGGTATATTGTCCAATGTCTGGTCAAAGCCTATTGTTGACAGGTTCTTGAAAAATAATACTGAGCTGATATAAACCCTAAGGTACTTGCATGTAATGCATGCTGTAAACCACTAAGAGTTCTTGGAAGTAGTTAATGTCATTATTTCAGAGAGCCAACATGGCTTGAACGTTGGACTATAACTCTGGAAAACAGAGTTCGGATGCCCACTCAGCCATGGAAACCTACTGGGTGACTTTGGACAAGTCACACACTCTCAGCCTCAGGGGAAAGCATTGGCAAACCTCTGAATAAATCTTGCCAAGAAAACCCTCTGATAGGATTGCCATAACTTGGAAATGGCATGAAGGCACACAACAACAATAAATCAAATGCCTAAATGGCCTAAATACCATAAAGGCACCAGATCCTGAATTTGGAAGCTAAGCAGGATCAGTTCTGTTTAGTACTTGGTTGGGAAACCACCAATGAATACCAGGTTCGGTAGGCTATATTTCAGAGGATGGAGCTGGCAAAACCACCTTGTGAGTATTCCTTGCCCAAGAAAACCCAATGAAATTCATGGAGTCACTGGAAATTGACATGGCAACTTGAAGGCTCATACACCAAGTGCATAGAGTAAAAAGGCCAAACTGTTGCTCGGCTTCCAGAATATAGAAAATTGCCTTATACTGGTCCTTCTAGCCCAGCCTGGCAGCAGTTTTGGAATTTCAAGCAAGGTTATTTCCTTGCCCTACCTGGTGTTACCCAGCATTCCTTAGCAGTCTTCTATCCAAGTACTAACCAAGCCTGACCTTACCTTGCTTCCAAAGTTGGTACAAGTATGATAAAGCACTAGAAGGGACCCTTGTATTGATCCTGCATGAGATTTCTTCTATATATTGACTTCCAAAGAATTTGCTTCTACATAATGCACTTAGATGGCATGTAGTCAGGAAATAATGCTTTTAGACAAAATGAAGAATGAGCTAAATATGATAATTCTGTCAGCCAAGTTGCTGTTTTCTTCTTAGCAATTCATTTCAGATATGGTCAGGCCAGAAAAGCTCCAGAGGTAAATGTGACAAAAGATGGAGTTGCATGTTTATGCCAATAAGGATTTTAGAAAATGTGTGAGTCCAAAATGCTTAAAACTGTTCAGTTGGCATGGAATTTAGATTTGATAGATTAATAATAATAATAATAATAATAATAATAATAATAATAATAATAATAATAATAATTCAGATAGATAGATAGATAGATAGATAGATAGATAGATAGATAGATAGATAGACAGACAGACAGACAGACAGACAGACAGGTAAGTGGATGTTAGATCAGAAGCAGACTTCCAAATATGAGTGTTCATAGGTTCATGACAACAAATACATTATCAGAGCAAACGGGCTTATCTGAATTTGAACAATAACTAATGTTCACGGTTATGCTGTGCTACACATCTTCACATAATCTCCAATAATGAAATGGTGCTTACACTGAAAAGTTTATTAGCAAGCCGCAGACGCCTGAAAATCATGGGAAGCAGAGAGAATAGCTGTCAATTGTCAGACTAATTTTGTGATTTAAAATGATGGAATGGGCCTTCATGGAAGTATTCCAAATTGCTCACTGATTTTCACCATTTATAATGCTGTGATGCTTAGCAGGGCATGGGTTCTTAAACTGAAAATAAATAAAATATAATGAGGCTAATCTAACCAGACATCCCACACAGAGACCTGTGTGCATTCATATACCAAACAAGTACATGGAGCCCGACTTTCATAAATGAAAGAGTCTTAAAAGGGAAATGCAAGAGTGCTACTTTTATTTAAATACACAGAATTCCCACATGTTTTGCAAGGAAGGGGATTGCTCCCTAGGTCAAATTGCAATAAAGGCATATTTTAAATTTAAGACTGTTACTTTGGTTCTGGCAAAGGACTTCGTGGGGACTTGCAAGAAAGGAGAAGGATGCAGAGCTCTGATGGACATCACACTCTTCTTTGGTCGCAGAGATCTTTCGCCAAAGTTGTCTGCGGATGTTGGTTTGAGCCTTTAGTTCGTATGTGCTTTTCCCAAACTAGCAGTTGCTCAAGTGTTTTCATTCACATCTTTGTTTTCTTGATCACAGGCTGATATTTCATGCTATCCTGGAAAAAGTGTGGAAAGAGAGGACAGCTTCAATTAATTAACCTTCATTGAACTACTGAAACATTGTCTTCCTTGCCATGCCCCCAAATATGGATCAGTAGTTTTCACCAAAGCTTTTGGAAGACAGAATTGTACAATGTTCTTGTCTGGAAAATGGAGTTAAGCAAGTAACATGTTCATTTGGGGCCATTTTTAACTTGCTGTATGTGTGATATGTTGTATTGGATCACATTTGAAATTTGGTACAGTGATAAACTTTATCATTATAGATTATTATACAGTACGTTCAAAGATGTTAGCACAATAGGTATTATTTTTATAAGTAACAGAAAAATGAGACAATACTAAATACCTTTCTTTGAAATTCATTTTAACTAGCAGTGTGCTACTCTCTTCCTTCAGTAAGAGTAACTGTTTCAAACAGTATAGAACTTGGTTAGTGAATAACATCACATTGCTTCCAGAATTCTCTTCAGTGTCTGTTGTTTGTATTATTGCTGGAACACCTGGACAGAATCCTGCAATTTAATTTTATCCAGCTTCCAGTTTTCTCTTGTTAGTGGTGGATTCAAACAGGGTGCCATGCTTGGGGTATTTTGCAAAACTGTCTTAGAAAACTGTTTTCTGATGTGGAGAATATCGAACCGAAAGGTTACCACTGTGCCTGTTCTTCTATAGAGCTGATAGAGCTTCTTCTTCTATACTATTCTTCTATACCTTTAACCAGGCTTTATAGCAAACCATCAATACTAGTCAAAAAGAAAATCATACCTTTAATTCCCTTTGAAATGGCTGCAAGGGACTTTAGGGGGTTGCAGACTGCTAGAAATAGTGCAAATTGAATCCATTTTTAGGGTTAGGGTTAGTGCTAGGGAATCATGGGAATTGTTTTTTTTTTTTTCTGAGACATTGAGCCTTCTCTGTCAGAGAGCTCTGGTGCCACAATAAAATACAGTTCCCATGATTCCCTAACCCTAACCCTAAAAGTGGACGCAATTTGCACTATTTCTGGCAGTCTGTAACCATTGTAAAAACCTAGTGTACGGGGATTTCTGCTCCTATATGTATATGTGAATGGTTCTGTACAAAACATGGGTGCTTAATTGATAGAGCCATCACATTTACATTGCAACATTCTGCTTGTTGTTGTTTGTGTGTCTTCGTTTCCGACTTATGGCAACCCTAAGACAAACCTATGGAGTTTTGTTGGCAAGATTTGTTCAAAGGAGATTTGCCATTGTCTTCCCCTGAGGCTGAGAGAGTGTGATTTGCCCAAGGTCACCCAGTGGGTTTCATGGCCGAGCTGGGATTGGAACCTTGATCTTCAGAGTTGTAGTCCAATACTCACACCACTACAACATGCTACAAACTTAATGTGTGAATCTGGCTGCACTGATTTACCCCATGGTTCAAAATCTTATGAGTTGACATGAATGTCCAGAGAGGGAAATTTTTACTTGAATCTCAGCACATTGGCAATTTCACATAAAACTCACAAAAGCTTCTGTTCAATCATGAGCTCCCAATATTGCAAGTTCACAAGCCTCAGGGTAGCCTTGGCACAGACGGTTCTATAAAACAAAAATCTGCCCTTTCCAGATGTCCTTAGCAAGGCATACGTGTCAGGGCTGGTGTAGCCATGTTGATGTTGGAGTTGGCTAGTCCAAACCTATTTGTGGACTGATTAAATGCTTAAGCAGCAAGTTGTGGAAATGGCTTTTTGATGACTTCTGAATCTTGTGCCTTAATTCAGGCTACACACAGACCTTAGTAACAGTTTTATTAATAGGGGCTCTTTGGCAAGGTTCCTAATACAGATCTATAGCAGAGTTTCTCTCATTCCATAGGAACAGAGGTAAAAAGAAAGCAGGGTTATGATTCAGGGGGAAGGCAGCTTGTGGTTTAATTTACTGTGCTTGTTTACAACACACATCCCTTCTGAGACGCTGAGGAAAAGGTGTTTTGGTGGAATTCAGTTTCAGCTTGCATATGCTGTATGAGAACTGGGAATTTTGGTGAATGTATCTGTATCTGCAAACCATGTCTGGGAGAATCTGAGGAAAGCTAACAAGGGGATTTCAATGGCTGGCTAATCAAGTACTCAGTAGATGTATCATAGTCCAAACTTGTACACAACATAACTTCTTGTGTAGCCTGTTAAATATGCAAAGCGAAAGGGAATACATAATAATAATAATAATAATAATAATAATAATAATAATAATAATAATAATAATTTTTATTTATAGCCCGCTCCTCTGCCC